GATATGCTGAATGTGCTCTTCCACATCGTATTCGGCTGAGACATTGCGGCTGTTACTATATCAAATCTTGTCCTAATCTCTTTCATACAAATGTCTTCCTTACATATGTGAGAGCTGAGGTATTTAAAGGTTTCAACCTCCTCCAGTTTGTTTCCCAAAAATCATTATTTTGATAGGTAATTGATTGTGGTAACCAAGACCTGACCAATCAATGACAAAATGAAAAAGGGTTAACACACTGATACTACTGTTTCAGTATTTATTCTGCTACTTGTTGGGGTAGTGTAAATGTATCAATATCAGTATCATTCTTTGCAGAGCCAACAGACAATATTTCCTAGCTTTGAACGTCACATTACAAACATGCGCCGTTTTTTTGCATTGATACCTAAATATGTCAAAATATTTGGAGTTTGGATATGTCAGCAAAGAACAAAAAAAAAAAAAAATAAAAATCCAGAAAATATCACTCACTACTTAACAGCGTCAGTAACAAGCGTATACACAACAGTTGTGTGTACTTTACAAGAGAAACCTAGCATTAATTGTTGTGTAGTTTTCTACTCAAATGCACGGTCTGTTGCTCATTTACGATCCTATTGTCCTGGGAGCTGCACCATTTACGTTATCGTTTCTAGTAAACTGAATGACTCCGGCCATAACAATTCGAGGAGAAGAGAAATTGATGGTATGGTTTTTGGAAGAATTTAAAAAAAAATGCAGTGGTCGACCCGTACAGCGATGAGCACATGCTTGACACTCCATGAGGTGGCAAGAGAATTAGTGGATGACGAATATGTCTTTGTCTGTGGATGGCTTGCTTTCATTCTGTTATTACGATCAATGAAGTGTGTTATTCCACTAAATAGCTGGCATGGAAATCATACTGTGGGCGACTTGAACAAGCCAACGTTTGTGAGAGAAATGTTAGAGAGACGAGCAAACTGGCTAGAGAGTTTTCACAATTCAGATCTGCACAAATTTCTGGAGTTGACGTTATGCTCATCTAGCAGAAGGGCGTCTTGTGCTGTTAGACATGGAGATTGTGATTGCCTGCTGTGATGCTTGTTGTTTGATACATAGATCGTTCCGTTATGCATGGAATTATTAGTTTAACACTGCCAATTACTGCCTTTATTGTATACCACTTGTTCTGGTGTAGGCAGTCAGGTCTTTGAGCCTGAGATTTGGGGGCGCATGGCTAGTGCTAGTGTTATTTTAGCCCTCACAGAGAAAGTGCCCAACCTTACTGAGGATTCGAACCCGGGCTTCCCGCATAAGAGCCCAGCGTCCTAACCGTTCAGCGCGCCGCTTCTCTAGATTTATTTGTGTTGAAATTCAGTATGCTGTAGTTATTGCTGCTTTGATGTAGCAGACTGGTAAGTTCTTTCCTAGGCCAAAGACCTGATGTCAGAGGCGCGTTTGTATATTAGACTGACGTTATCTTGATAATGAATTCGTCTTCCTAACTACTTTTGCATTTTTTCAATTGTTTCTACCGCACTGTGAACGCACGAGACTGTGCTTTGCAATAACTATAGCTAGTAGGACTCTTACTGACCATGTAGGCATAGGTTGGAATTTCAGTCTAGGCAGATTTTGGATATCAGCTCGTTAACTTTGACAGCATAGCACCATGTACCAGAATGTACCGGACAGCCGAAAGCCGTGATATTGACATCAACTAATAAGTGCCGATTTGTCCGTGCACACATAAAGTTAGCATTCATTTGTCCGTGCGCACATAAAGTTAGCATTCATTTGTCCGTGCGCACATAAAGTTAGCATTCATTTGTCCGTGCACGCATGAAGTTAGCGCTCATTTGTCCGTGCACACATGAAGTTAGCGCTCATTTGTCCGTGCACAAATGAAGTTAGCGCTTATTTCTCCGTGCACACATGAAGTTAGCGCTAATTTGTCCGTGCACAAATGAAGTTAGCGCTCTGTTTAATACCCCCGAAAAGATGAAATAGGCCCGTCACTTATCTGGGTCACAATTAAGTTAGCGCTCTGTTTAATACCCCCGAAAAGATTAAATAGGCAGGTCACTTATCTGGGTTGTGTTCTTCTCGACAACATTGCTGATTGTGGGGCCTGGTGGTTCCCAGTGACAATGACTGCCAACAATTCGAGAAGACAACGATAACAATCGGCGGGTATTTATAAAAGGAGCAAAACGGAGTAATGCCTCTGATTCGCATGAGATCCATCAGGCAACACTAACACTTAGATAATGGCAAGAATTTGCATTAAGCGAGACGCCTCTTACAGATAATGTGTCAATTTGAAATTGAAAGTAACAGAACCACCAAGAAGCTTCTGGGTCGAGGCTCCAGTTAAACACACAAGGAAAAATGACCATTCAACAATATTTCTCTAAGAGCACACACGAGCATATTGGAGTGGCACAGAAGACGGTCGGCACCATATTTGTTCAAGAACTTTAATGACAGATCAAACAAAACATATGCAATGCTATTTGATGATGACAAATTATTCTTCCATTAGAGAGAAAAAACCGTCACTGGCAATCATCTCAACACATCACTAAGTATATTAGCCATATCACGGTTTAACTGAACTAACCCCTAAACCCCCCCCCCCCCCCCCCCCCCCCCCCCCCCCCCCCCCACCCCCACTACGTGTGTATTCATATAATAAAATAAAATCATCTCTGTGCTTTAAAAAAAAAGCCACAGAATTGGCTCTCACAATGGCAGACAAGTGAGGTAAAGAGTTGTGATCTAATGCAAGTGACATATAACTGCTGAGTTTATTAATATTATTTGCCGGTAGACAAAAAGATGAACCATTCCCTCACTCAAGCCACGCGAGAAACGCAAGAAAGTTCAGAAAACCACAATACTTGGAAACAATCTGGTATCCGTGAGACGACTAAAGAACAAGAAGAAGAAGCTGGTAAACATACGTGTTTACTTCGATCCTTAACTGAGACATTTTACGTAAAAACCAGTTGTACAGTATTATGTTATAATAAACGTGACCCTATAAACATGACACAATTACTTCTCATCAGACTGCCAATATGAACACCAATATTTTTCCCTACAATCAAGCCCTTATTTCGGAAATTAGTTTCTGTTGAAATGCTTTAAGTCACAACAACAACAACAACAACAACAACAACAACAACAACAACAACAACAACAATGCGACTGCAAATGATTAAATAAGGACACTATAATGAGTGTTATATTAATTTCACTCTCATGTGTTTGGTTTATCGTAGCTGTACATGCACAAGTCTAACGCACCAATGTGAAATTGTTAATAGCAGATAATTTCAAACTATTAGGGCGCTGCGTCAAATACAGCATACGTTACACTTGCCCCAACAGGGCACCTTTTTTCAAATAGCTATGTCGTGTTATTGCCCTTGTTTGCTATAGTTATCCGGAGCTCATAATACCGATTCGGTTTATTTTCTGATCAAAATATTCTCCAAAATCGTCTTCATAAATATACACAAGGATTTTCTATTTGTCCCTCTGTATGAACAAGTTTATATTCTGTATGTGTTATGTTACGTTATTACTAGCAATGTAACAGACCACTGGGAGATCGTATGCGTGCTCAGTCCTCCGATGCAGCGGCCACTCCAAGGTACTACTACAGATTGTTCACAAGTGAACTTGGTTTCTCTAGTGGGAGGGTGTCTGTGCGCGCGGCCAGGTACACGCCTACTGTTGTCTACATCTCTTTCATTTGCTACTGTACTGTACTACCAATACGAATGAGTTTGGTTATTATGTTTCCTCCTACTACCCCCCCCCCCCCCCTCCCTCTCTCTCTCTCTCTCTCTCTCTCTCTCTCTCTCTCTCTCTCTCTCTCTTTCTCTCTTTCTTTCCCCCCTCCCTCTGTCAGCCACAAAAACATACATATATACATTTTGTTACAGCGCTACTTACACCAAAGTCCTACACCTGAAATAATTTGTAAGAATTATAATGCAACAGTTGAAAAGCTTCTAACACGTGGTGCAAGGGAAGTGTCCAGTAACATCGGGATCTAAAGCAACGGCTATCCTCCGAATAACGGTCGGTAAAGATGGCGGCCGCAAAAGATCATTTCGAGCCACAGTCACGTGACCTAATTTGCGGTTCTCTGGCGGTTTTCTGGCGACTACCGCCACCGCGCAAGCCTCCCACGCCGCTTGCGCGGCGTGGATTGGGGGTAAACTAGATGGCTAGGACTCACGAGCAAAGCTTCAGGAGATGCGGAAGCTGCTGCTCGTGGGTCCTAGCCATCTAGTTTAGCCCAATCCAAGCACCGTGAGCGGCGTGGGGGACTCGAGGCGGTGGCTGTAGTCGCTGGAAAACCGCCGGAGAACCAAAATTAAGTCGCTGGAGAACCGCAAATTAGGTCACGAGACTGTGGCTCGAAATGATTGTTTGCGGCCGCCATCTTTACCGACCGTTATTCGGAGGATAGCCAAAGCAACAATTACAAAGCGACCAGTCTGTCAATCTTTGAGCAGTGACAAGAAGTAGCTACATGCAGGGACGTCGGCAATGATAACATCAGGTACAGACCTGTTGCCAATGATAACATCAGTTACAGACCTGTTCCCAATAATAACATCAGTTACAGACCTGTTGCCAATGATAACATCAGTTACAGACCTGTTGCCAATAAAGATCCTGATGTTGATCAGACCAAAGTGCACAGGAGAAACAAAGCAGTAGACGTGCACACAAAATATTGAAATGATTCATCAACTGCAAAATACCACATCACTTTTATGAGAACCGCCGGAGGAAGCAAATGGAAATGAGATCACAGCAGATATATGGAATAATAAGTAAAGGGATGACAAAGCCAACAAGCATGTTACTGCAGAAATAGTAGGACATATTTTAATTCTCGATATGAGTGGCGTAGTGCTGATAAAAAAATCTATTTATGGAGGAGTTAAAGTTAAATCCTGCAGTTTAGAACGAAGCAGTTTAAAAACAACCTTATCTAGAAAGTTTCTTAGCTAAATCAAATTGCTAGAATTCACCTCACCTCTGCACTTGTTTGATAATTCCTTGAGACTCTTTTCGAATTTTGCAGGGCTGTCTGTGTCGTCGAAAGTCTCCACGTATTTCATTGACAGATTCGAGTTGAGCTGCGTGAGGACTAACAGATAAATGGGCTCCATGGTAAACCAGCAAGTGGATTTCCCATGCAGTTCGTTTTTGTTTGTATAAGTTATCATTCCAATCTGTTTGTAGTGAAATTGGATAAGCACGGACAATACGAATTCTGCCAACTTATCAAAACTGCCCATAACTCGAGTGAGAAGTCCGTATGTTTCCTTTTCACTGAAAGCTGCTACTAAGGCCCCAGCACTGATGATAGGTATATTCCAAAAGCGGGTGAACCTGGCAACGACGGCGATGGCATAATCGCAGGCAGGCCCCAGAAATAGATCAGCTGATTTCTTGGTATACATATCAATAGCTTCCAGTGGGCCGTGCGTTTCTGAGCATTTCGAATCACGGTAGTCAAACTCCATTGTGTAGTTTCGGATCAAGCTTGTATTACTGTAGATATATTCCCGGGCATGTTCCAAAGCCGGACGCACCAGATCCAACCTGTACTCGTAATCGCCTGAGAAAGGAAGTATAACCCCAATCTGTATCTTGTTTTCCCGGTGACGGCGTATCGCTGGTGACTCGCAGGCTGTACAGTCTTGCACGTGTGAGTTTGGATGAGGAACAGTTGTCGTTAACTCCACACAGTAGTCGTTCAGAAGGCAAGTTACAAATATCAACTTTAGCACGGCACATCTGTGAACTGACATCTTTATTTGATCCGTTACACGCCAGATCGTTCAGACACAGACCCAGCAGTCATGTTGCGCCGCCATAAAAACACATTTGAGAATAAATTTATAGTAACAACTGTCACACCACGCATATTTGTTACGTGTTAGGGATCCGTTTATGTGGCCACGAGATATTCATCCTAGATAATCAATAATACTGATCCACATAATCATTTATAAAACCAATGTATGTATGTATGTATGTATGTATGTATGTATGTATGTATGTATGTATGTATGTATGTATGTATGTATGTATGTATGTATGTATGTATGTATGTATGTATGTATGTATGTATGTATGTATGTATGTATGTATGTATGTATGTATGTATGTATGTATGTATGTATGTATGTATGTATGTATGTATGTATGTATGTATGTATGTATGTATGTATGTATGTATGTATGTATGTATGTATGTATGTATGTATGTATGTATGTATGCATGCATGCATGCATGCATGCATGCATGCATGCATGCATGCATGCATGCATGCATGCATGCATGCATGCCATGCATGTATGTATGCATGCATGCATGCATGCATGCATTGATGCATGCATGCATGCATGCATGCATGCATGCATGCATGTATGTATGTATGTATGTATGTATGTATGTATGTATGTATGTATGTATGTATGTAGGTATGTATGTATGTATGTATGTATGTATGTATGTATGTATGTATGTATGTATGTATGTATGTACAGCAGTATGTATGTGTTGTATGTATGTAGTATGTATGTATGCATGCATGCATGCATGCATGCATACATACATACATACATACATTGGTTTTATAAATTGATATGTGGATCAGATATTGATTGATGCATGCATGCATGGCATGCATGTATGTATGTATGTATGTATGTATGTATGTATGTGTATGTATGTAGTATGTATGTATGTTATGTATGTATGTATGTATGTATGTATGTATGTATGTATGTATGTATGTATGTATGTATGTATGTATGTATGTATGAATGCATGCATGCATGCATACATACATACATACATACATACATATGGTTTTATAAATGATATGTGGATCAGTATTATTGATGCATGCATGCATGCATGCATGTATGTATGTATGTATGTATGTATGTATGTATGTATGTATGTATGTATGTATGTATGTATGTAATGTATGTATGTATGTATTGTATGTATGTATGTATGTATGTGTATGTATGTATGTATGTATGTATGTATGTATGTATGTTGTATGTATGTATGTATGTCATGTATGTATGTATGGATGTATGTATGTATGTATGTATGTATGTATGTATGTATGTATGTATGTATGTATGTATGTATGTATGTATGTATGTATGTATGTATGTATGTATGTATGTATGTATGTATGTATGTATGTATGTATGTATGTATGTATGTATGTATGTATGTATGTATGTATGTATGTATGTATGTATGTATGTATGTATGTATGTATGTCATGTATGTATGTATGTATGTATGTATGTATGTATGTATGTATGTATGTATGTATGTATGTATGTATGTATGATATGTATGTATGTATGTATGTATGTATGTATGTATGTATGTATGTATGTATTGTATGTATGTATGTATGTATGTATGTATGTATGTATGTATGTATGTATGTATGTATGTATGTATGTATGAATTATGTATGTATGTATGTATGTATGTATGTATGTATGTATGTATGTATGTATGTATGTATGTATGTATGTGATGTATGTATGTATGTATGTATGTATGTATGTATGTATGTATGTATGTATGTATGTATGTATGTATGTACGTATGTATGTATGTATGTATGTATGTATGTATGTATGTATGTATGTATGTATGTATGTATGTATGTATGATGTATGTATGTATGTATGTATGAGTATGTATGTATGTATGTATGTATGTATGTATGTATGTATGTATGTATGTATGTATGTATGTATGTATGTATGTATGTATGTTTGTATGTATGTATGTATGTATGATGTAAAATTACCGGCGGGTCCATGGAAAATCTCTCACATATTTAACAGTTTTCAAATCCGCTGGACCTCGATCGTCTCCTATGCCATCTGCTTGTGTATTTCACAACAGTGGCTGATAACAAGCAATAAAATAAAAAACAAATTGCTCGTAGAGAAAAAAAAATTACGTTGTCCCCCTTGGGCTCGCTCCCTTTTGTCCCCCTTCCCCCCCCCCCCCCCCCCCCCCCCCCCCCCCCCCCAAGAAAAAAACTACTTGTTAGTGTATATAATAAACTATAAAATTATGTGCTCTTTACGTATATGATATCCGTAATATACAATTATTCGATTATGATATCAATTTTCTGTCTAGCTTTGTCTCTATCTCTCAATATACTTCTCTCTATTACTCTATCCCTATCACTCTATCAGTCTTCCTCTCACTCACTGCTATAGTAATCAAATGAGAAATCTGTGTCCACCAAGAGAAACACCATAAGTATAACCGACACCACTTAGAAGTGTTTTCACATGCTTGTCAAACTGGCATATGCACTTGTACAGACTACTTTAAATAGAAGATTGTCATCGCATGCCTCACTGACACACAAACATAAGTGATAGGAGATTGTCATCGCTTGCCTCGCTGACACACAAACATAAGTGACAGAAGATTGTCATTGCATGTCTCACTGACACACAAACATAAGTGACAGAAGATTGTCATCGCATGCCTCGCTGACACACAAACATAAGTGACAGAAGATTGTCATTGCATGCCTCGCTGACACACAAACATAAGTGACAGAAGATTGTCATCGCATGCCTCGCTGACACACAAACATAAGTGACAGAAGATTGTCATTGCATGCCTCGCTGACACACAAACATAAGTGATAGGAGATTGTCATCGCCTGCCTCTCTGACACCCAAATATAAGTGATAGGAGATTGTCATCGCTTGCCTTACTGACACACAAACATAAGTGATAGGAGATTGTCATCGCTTGCCTTACTGACACACAAACATAAGTGATAGGAGATTGTCATTGCTTGCCTCACTGACACACAAACATAAGTGATAGGAGATTGTCATCGCATGCCTCACTGACACACAAACATAAGTGATAGGAGATTGTCATCGCTTGCCTCTCTGACACCCAAATATAAGTGATAGGAGATTGTCATCGCTTGCCTTACTGACACACAAACATAAGTGATAGGAGATTGTCATCGCTTGCCTTACTGACACACAAACATAAGTGATAGGAGATTGTCATCGCTTGCCTTACTGACACACAAACATAAGTGATAGGAGATTGTCATCGCTTGCCTTACTGACACACAAACATAAGTGATAGGAGATTGTCATCGCTTGCCTTACTGACACACACACATAAGTGATAGGAGATTGTCATCGCTTGCCTCACTGACACACAAACATAAGTGATAGGAGATTGTCATCGCATGCCTCACTGACACACAAACATAAGTGATAGGAGATTGTCATCGCATGCCTCACTGACACACAAACATAAGTGATAGGAGATTGTCATCGCTTGCCTTACTGACACACAAACATAAGTGATAGGAGATTGTCACCGCATGACTCACTGACACACAAACATAAGTGATAGGAGATTGTCATCGCTTGCCTTACTGACACACAAACATAAGTGATAGGAGATTGTCACCGCATGACTCACTGACACACAAACATAAGTGATAGGAGATTGTCATCGCTTGCCTTACTGACACACAAACATAAGTGATAGGAGATTGTCACCGCATGACTCACTGACACACAAACATAAGTGATAGGAGATTGTCATCGCTTGCCTTACTGACACACAAACATAAGTGATAGGAGATTGTCATCGCTTGCCTTACTGACACACAAACATAAGTGATAGGAGATTGTCATCGCATGTCTCACTGACACACAAACATAAGTGATAGAAGATTGTCATCGCATGACTCACTGACACACAAACATAAGTGATAGGAGATTGTCATCGCTTGCCTCACTGACACACAAACATAAGTGATAGGAGATTGTCATCGCATGACTCACTGACACTCAAAAATAAGTGATAGGAGATTGTCACCGCATGCCTCACTGACACACAAACATAAGTGATAGGAGATTGTCATCGCATGCCTTACTGACACACAAACATAAGTGATAGAATATTGTCATTGCATGTCTCTCTGACACACAAACATAAGTGATAGCAAATCTCCACAACTTGTGATAGAATGACTGTACAGGCAGGACTGAAAGCACTAGGCATTGATGCACGACTTGCAGGAAGAGCTTTTTGAGGCTACTGTCTGGGACTACTGTCTGTGACTACTGTCTGTGACTACTGTTTGTTGTTACACCCTTTTATGGCGCCATAAACAGGGGATAGGCGCCTGAGGATTTAGGGCCGCATAGCTAGTGCTGTCGCCACGGACTGTACAGGTTAGGATGTTTATTTCTGCCCACGAAGCCAAGGTCTTCAACATGAGAGCCTGACTTTGTAACCGCCCAGGGAGCTGTTCCTCCCTTGTGTGTGTGTGCATGTGTGTGTGTGTGTGTGTGTGTGAGTGTGCCTGCGTGTCTGTGTGAGTGTGTATATGCGTGGGGTGCGTGCGTGTTTTTGTGTGTGTAAGTGTCGTGTGTGTATGTGCGTGTGTGTGTGCGTGTGTGTGTGTGCGTGCGTGTGTGCGTACGTGTCTGTGTGAGTATGTACATGCGTGGGGTGTATCTGTATGTTTGTGTGTGTGTGTGTGTTGTGTGTGTGCGTGCAGGCCTGTGTGTGAGTGTGTGTGGGAAAAGGGGGTGCAACACAGTGTACCTTTCAAAGAAACACAATTGTATAGGCCCATAAAATTATTTACGCCGTTTCAAGGCTATAGAGGATTCAAAGATTAAATAAGAATAACAAACAATCTGAAAGTTTGTGAAAGATCCTTAGAAGAAGCAGAGAATGAAATTGGAG